CGGGTTTTTGATGGGGTTAGTTACTTGGTGATTGTAGGAAGTTGAGTCGGAGCTATGAGTTGGGGTTGATATTACCTGTTCAGCACTACTTGTGAGGTGAGTTCTTCTCACTATGCTAACAGGGTCTAAAACACCAAGGCCGGCCCTTTTTGGATTGTATCCTGGTTTATTGTATGATGCTATGCTTAGTGATCTGTTTGATATGTATCATGGTATATAGTATGATGCTATGTTTAGTGATCTGCTAGATCTGTATCCTGGTATATAGGATGATGCTATGATTAGTGATATGTTAAATCTGTATGATTGTCTGTATATGCTAGCTAGCATTTGATATTTATGTGTTGATTGTGTGATTGCGGGTGGGTTGAGGCGGTCCTGCTTTGTGCTCAAGGCCAACAGACCCAGGGCGGCCCGGATAGACTGAAGGCCCATCGGGGCGTACCAGTCAGGCCGAAGGACCGAAGAACGGTCCGGACAGGCTGAAGGCCCAGTGAGGCGATCCCAGACATGCTGAAGGTTCTGAGAGTAGGCCAGATAGACTAAAGGCCCGGTGAGGCGGCCCAGTCATACTGAAGACTCTATATACATACTGTTTGTTTATGATATTGTTTTGTTATATAGCGTTGGTATTTTGGGGGAACTCACTAAGCTTCGGGCATACAGTTGTAGATTTTGTTTCAGGTACTTCGGATGATCGTGGGAAGGCGAAGGCTTGATCGTGCACCTCCTCACATTTTATGATTTTGATTTCTGGGATTTCTCTTATATGAAACTATTTGAAAACAATTTGTAATGAATGATGGTTTTTGGGATGTTTAAAATTTTAAAATTTTCAAGAATATTATGGATGTTACAGCCGCAAAGTCATTAAGAAACTAGAAATGAATATTTTGAGATAGATCTATGAATCCATATTAATCTATCCTCATTTCTCCAGCATGGTGATGATCACGAGAGCTAGTGGTTCGGATTCTGGATCGAATGGATCAGGTCCAAGCGATGCGGAGATACGCGACATAATTGAAGCGGCAGTGTCAGCCGTTGTAAGGGAAATGATCCCGGAGATGTACGGATATATATTATGAATGAATTGATAATGTTGTTTCATGAACGGTATGCTGCTATTGCAAGCACCGCAGCCACGGCTGCTATTGTTGTTGTAGCTTCACCTGGAGAGAAGGAAATGCCTTACCACGAGTTTAATAACACCAAGACCCTATAGTTTGATGGCGTTAGGGATCCGATTTTTGTAATGAGATGGATCTCATATGTAGAAGGATGATTATACACTTGTTTCTTCCCAAAAAAACTTAAAGTTTAGGTATGCACAAAATCTCCTACATCGTGGGGCGAAGGATTGGTGGAACTTTGTCACAAAGGATTACTCACCGACGGAGAAGAGCGTGGTGACTTGGGAGCAATTTTTTGAAAATTTAAGAGAGGATTATGTTCCATTGGTGGAAAGAGAGCGACTAGCACAAGAATACTTGTCGCTCAAACAAACAAATGAATCGGTGACAAAGATCACCAAGAATTTCACAGAGATATCCTTGTTTTTCCCCGAGTATGCATCCTCGGAACAAGTGAAAATGTATTTGTACTTGAGTATGCTCAAGATCGACATCAGAGATTTTGTATCGAACAATCGATACAAGACCTTGGCAGAGATGCATGATCATGTCAGGAGGAGGGAAATTGAGTTGGAGACCCAGACAAGGGAAAAGAGGCAGACCCCACCTCCATCTCAACCAGCAGCCAAGAAGTTCAAACGCAATGGTTCAAGGTTTAAAAATCAAAAGGGACGCACTTTAAATAAGTGTGGAAAATTTCATAATGGTCCATGTCGGACAGTACTTGAGTGCCACAAGTGTGGCAAAGAAGGGCATTATGACAGAGACTGTAAACAAAACGTACGTGTCTGTTTCAACTGCAACCAACTAGGACATTACAAGGATGAATGTCCTCTATTCCTATGCGAGAGATAAGCGTAATAGTAGCCATGGATTGGCTAAACTAGTTTGAAACCCTGATCGACTGTAGGAAGAAGATAGTACGAGTTCGGACTCCAAGTGGGTGATAACTTGTCATCCGGGGAGAGGGTTCCATGAGTAATTCGACATTTTGTTTCACCGTGAAGGCCAAAAAATACCTACAACATGGATGTGAGGGATTTTTGTCCTATGTAACAATTGTGATATGTGCTCCGGGCTTAATGTTGTCTTGAAATGGCTTCGTCTCAGTTAAGCCTGAGAATCACAACAAAGAAAGAACTGACGTCAGTCGTCGTCTGGGATGTGGTCCCGGAACGAAGCTCTGACGGTCTAGTTAGTAATTGGATGAGAGAATTAGGGTTTTGTTTTAGGTAGAGAATGAGGTGATCCATTCTCTTGAAGAAGGAGGATCCTTTTATACCTGTCGTTTCTCGCGCATGATCCCAACGGCGTCCTTTGTCCTACCTAGGCCGACAGGATGTGGAGGAGCCCCATTGGCGGATCGTGCACTACTAATCATCATCTTCTATTGGTGAAAAATAAACAGAGGACATAGCCTTACGTGCTACACTTGTCGCTCTGGGGATGGCCAACACTGTTTTTGGCTTATTATAGACCCAATTTTCTCGTTCTGAGTTGGACCTTGGCGCTAGAGCGTCGGGGTATAAATGCGATGCCACGAGGGGGAGGGTCTGGGCCTGACACTTGTGCTGAGTAGAGACCATTAGCTAGGTCGTCCTTTAGATAACTGCTCCGTTATCTTTGACGTATTCCTAGAGGGATACATTAACAAGTCCCCTAGGCTAGTAGACTTCTTCGTTGGGATGACGTACTTGAGTTGTTCTAGCCTTTGATCAGGATACGCATCCGGTGGAGATGGGTCTGATGTCTATTGGTGTGACAGAGCCATTCTGCATAGACCGTTTTTACTGTGGTAACCATTCGATTCTCCCACTTTGTGTTTAAAAATGCCCTTATTTAGGGACGATTTTATTCTTCGTATCTCATTCGCTTCAACCGTCTCAGTTTTATTATGTGCTAATTCTTTTCCTATCATTTTTTGTTCTTGATCTACAATGACATCCACGCGATATGGGAATGACCCGACACCAGAAGATTTTGAGTCCCTCCAGTTCCAGTTTGGTTTTATGCCTGAACACAGAGTACAATTTCTGAAGAAAGGGGCTATCATCTATTAGCCACCAGCAGGGAAGGTTGGAGTCCTTGTGTTGATCTTCGAGGCGGGACTTTGGCTGTTGATATTGGATTTATTTGATGAGGTCATGCGCAAGTATGGTTTCTCTATGGATGACCTCACTCCTAATGTCGTTAATAAGATTGTTGGGTTCGAGTTGGCATGTCAAGCCTTGGGTGTACTTCGACAATTTCGGGCCTTCCAAGGTTTCTTCAACTCGTCAACCCAGTTTGGTGTGTATACTTTCTCTTAGCGGCGTAATACTCATGCGTTTATTGTTAACCAGAAGGCTCCTCGGAAGAACTGGTAGGATCGGTGGTTGTGGGTTAACAACGACCTGATAGGTCATGGTTACTCCTGTGTGACCATCTCCTCGGATCGGGCACATTAATTGTCGGGCTCCAGTTTGTCTGTGGCTCAGGCGTTGAATGGGATCTGCTTCAACAGGGAAGCTTGGTAGGACTGCATCCTGGCGGCGGCGGGGATGAGTGTTGCTTGGCGAGCCCGAGGGATGATGCCTCAATTTTATGTGGAGAAGGACGATAAGTGTCACTTCCCTACCCCCTCCCATTTTGAGAAGCTTCCATTGGGGAGGAGAACATTCATTTAATGCTTGTTGTTTTGGTTGCAGGTGCTGAGAGGGGTTTTATCCTTCAAGAGAGTGTTGCGTGGGAGGTTTAAGGGTGACGTTCAGTATCACGAGGACCCTTTGGTGGAGGCTCTCCCACCACCCTTTAGCACCACTCGTGCGCTTGTCCCAACTGTTTCGTCCACCGCTGCGCACAAAGGGCCTGACACTCAAGCTGATTTTGGCCCGTTGGGTGTAGCTGTTGACGGTGTTTCCCGTAGAGATCCTCTATCTTTCTTTTCTGAGGAGCGGGCGGTGAAGGGGGGGGGGGTCCATTGGCAAAGTCTCTTGTTCCTTCTTCTGGTCATTGGTGCAATAAAGTCGCTCCCTGCCTCACTCCCTTCGACTGATACAAAGTGTCATCATCATCGAGGATATCGATCACATTGGGCGAGCACCCATGCAGGAAATCAATGTTACTCTTCTTACACAACCCGCTACCAATTGTGATGGCCCCAACATCACCGTCGAGCGGGGAGTCCGCTCAAGTTGTGCGTTGTCTAATGGCGAACCGAATGCCGCCAACGGACCCCCCCCCCCCCTTCGGAAAAGCAAGATAGAGGATCTCTACGGGAAACACCATCAACAGCTACACCCAACGGTTCCACTCCTCGATGGTGTCATCTCTGGCATCGTACCTACACAACTAGGAAACGCTGGTGTGTATCTCCCCGAGTGGAATCTTATTCACGGGTCCCTTCCGACGTAACATTCTAGCATCCACGAGTGGTGTCGTCATGCATTTCCTCCGGCCACTTTGGAGTCGCTGGAACTCCTTTCTTATTCCCATATGGAGAATGATCTCCAACACACTGCAGCCCAGGTTGCTCCGTATTTGGTGGTGGTATCCGGTCTCCTTCGCTACTTGGGTGCCGACTTGGCAGAATTGGATGCCGTCAAGACTGAACTTGAGGAGCTTGGGGAGAAGGTATGGCTACTCTAGGATGAGAAACGCAAGTTTGAGGAGCACTATGTCGTTCTAGCTAGAGAGAAGTCTTCTTCTGAGGACCAAGTGGCGAGCATGGATAGGGAGATGGAGCGTTTTTCACAGCGAGTGCAACATCTGGTGGCGGAAAAAGAAGCGCTAGAAGTGTGCGTGAGAAAGCAAAGCGAGCAGCTGATGGTCGAAGCGTCGATGAAGAGAGCCTTGTAAGAGGCTTTGGCTTGGATCTTTGAATAGGGGATGGTTCGCGTGGTGGACTGGGTCATCGAGAGTGAAGAATATTCACTTGGGGTCAGGCGCCTGAATGCGGCATGCGTGGCCACTGGTATTGAGGGCGGTAAGCAGGCGGTGCGGAAGCAGTTGGCTGTCGAGAATTTTGATCCGGTGGATCCGAGTGCTGCAAAACAGTCAGCCCAGGTGATGCATGCTGCTATAAAGGTGTTCTTGGAGACAGATTTTGCCTCATACCTCCGTCTGGATGAGTTGGACTTGGCGGGGCTCTGCCAGCTCTGTTTGGATTCTTAGGCTGAAAAGCGCCCTCGTATGGGCTATTAGGGGGACATTGGACCTTCTTATACTCCTCTTGGAAATTGTCACACCCCCAAACCGGACGGCGGAAACGTCCGGGGGTGGAGGACTTCATTTGTAGTATCACAACACATGCATTATAGTAATCAGAGTACAAACAACCACTGTATTTAAAAAGTATAAGTATTTACATGTGTTTCATCATTGTATACAGAAACCAAATAGTTATACAAAAGAAGAAGACAAGACATAAATAGCTCCATCTTCTCAAAAGCACGGGGAGTACCTGTCTACTGGTTCCCTGAGAATACAAGTAATTTGAAAAGTAGTTTTAGTTACATAAAACTGTACTATTTGTAAACCATTGTTCTGTATTTGTATTCCTTTTGTAAACTTGTATCTGAGAGTGTGCCTGGTTTCTTCAACTGTTATTGTAAACTGTAATGTAATACTGTAAATTGTATCTTGTAAACTAGTACTTTGAAAATGTACTTAAGTTTAGTTAATTATACACTAACGTATTGTTAATATCTTTTATATGAGTTATTATAACCATACTGACTAGATGGTCTGACCCAACACTATGAATGCGTTGAAAGCTGATGATAACAAATGTCACTCGTAGGCATGTATGCCTGACTGTAGTTAGCAGTTCGAGTGCGGGGTTGTCAATCCCAATATAGATCTATACACACATTGTTTCGATCCCCCGCTGGAGATTCTGGTTATAATGTCAGGACTTTAACTATATTGTTTAAATGAATTAAACAACCTATATCAAATGAATCATAAAAAGCATATAGACGTTACATGTATAATAGTTATGAAAACCCAATCATTCTGAAATAAATGATTGATAGTATGTTCTTGAATTAGTATTCTTAACATGTATCTGAAAGATGTATACCCTTGAATAGTTTTGAATCAAACCTTTGTTCTTGTAAAACAATGTACTTTAGTATACTTGAATCGTGAATTAATGTTCTGTGAATCATAAATTATACCTATTATAATTTATATGTACTTTCTGAATTGATACCGAGTATTCATGAATGCAACCCCTTACTCAACATGTTACAAAGGGTAGTTGAACTTAATGAACTAACTTTTATACTTGTATACATATAGAAATATATATAAGTAAAATTTAAATGACACTCGGACAAATAACTGATACTTATAATCCTACATCCAAACAAGGAAAAGGAACCAAAGTGGGTTATCAGTCCTAAGCCTTTTAAATCTTATTTATATATAAATATATATATATATATATATATATATATATATATATATATATATATATTTATATATATATATATAAATATAAATATGATTTTTGGGTGAAATATAAGTTTATAAAAACATTTAAAAGAAGTTTGATATTTTGAAATTCATTTTGGTGACTTGATGTCATTTTGATACAATCATTGAAAACCATTTGATTTGATGATAACTGAAATCCATTTTGATAAGATATTTGAAACCATTTGTTTATAACACAAAATCTTTGTGTTAGACTTGTATCCCCCCCCCCCCCTTAAAACAGTAAAAACTATGAAAATACGGGGGTATGAACTCACCTGCAGTGAGTGATTCGAGTGAAAGGTCGATGTAGGATGCTAAGTGTCAAGTGAAGTCTTGAGCACAAGCGGATCCTATTAAGCATATAATGACACATATATGGATATAATTAGTGTATATAACAACTAATTATGATAGGAAACCACTTTAGGGACTAGGAAACACTTGAATTGAAGTGTTACAATCACATGTGATTGCACTAAAGGGGTTTACGGCCACACAAGGGTGTGTACGGCCAAGGTGGTGTACGGCCAATGGGTGTACGGCCAATGTGGTGTACGGCCCATGGGTGTACGGTCATGGAGTGTACGGCCGTACACTCATGGAAGAAGCAAGCAAAAAGGGGTGTTTATGGCCCTATCTAGCATCCATTAAGTGTTCATGATCTTATGTTGGGACATGAGGTGAGTTTGAGGCCAATACATGCACTAAACAAGGGTTTACGGCCATATGAGGTGTGTACGGCCGTACACCCTTGGTGTTCATGCATTAGATGACGAATCAAGGCTAGGAATCAAGTGTTTTTCAAGCTTAACTAGGAGATAGAAGAGATACTCACACTTTTGAAGGCTTCTAAGGAGTTCACGGCCCAAGAACAAGTAGGTGTTCTTGGTGTTCTTGGTGAAAGTGAAGAATACTTGAAGATCTATCCAAAAGAGAAGATTTCATGGATGAAAACATGGATCTTCACTAGATAAAGCCATGTATCAACTAATCAATGGAAGGAATACTTACATCTTTGAAGATCAAGGTGAAAAACTTGAAGATAGTTGAGAGAGAATCGGATTTATTGAGATGAAAGTGTGAGAAAGTGTGAAAGAATGAGGGAAAAGCTTATATATGGGTTTGGGTTCACGGCCACCTTGGGTGTACGGCCGTATACATATGTGTACGGCCGTACACTCCTCTTGATGGAGTGTTTGGCCTGAATGCAACCCGATGAACCTAAGTAAACTCATCCCTAAACCCAAACCTTGAATGTAATAGGCTTAGAACACTCAAACAGACCCTAAATAATACTAAAAGATAGTAGAAACGAGTCTGAATGTGATTGAATTGAATGACTGTACAAGATAGAAATTTCGGGTTGTCACATTATCCCCCCGTTAGAGAGAATTTCGTCCCGAAATTAGAGTTTAAGCAATTAAGCAATTACAAATAACTAATAAAAAAGATGAGGATATTTCAGTTTCATTTGATCCTTGCGCTCCCAAGTGAATTTAGGTCCTCGCTTGGCATTCCAACGAATCTTCACTATAGGAATACGACTTTGCTTCGTTTGCTTGACCTCTCGGTCCATGATCTCTACTGGTTCTTCCACAAAGTTGAGGCTCTCGTCGATCTCGATGTCGTCGAGTGGGATTACAAGAGTCTCGTCGGACAGACACTTTTTCAAACTCGAGACGTGGAAAACAGGATGTATATTACTTAGTTCTTGAGGTAGTCAGAGTTTGTAAGCTACTGGACCGATTCTAGCAAGAATCTCGAATGGTCCTATGTACCTTGGATTCAGCTTGCCACGCTTTCCAAAGCATATCATGACCTTCCAGGGTGAGACCTTCAACATGAAGCGGTCACTAACCTGGAATTCCAAAGGTTTTCTTCTTTTGTCAGCGTAGCTTTTCTGTCTATCTCTGGAAGCTTTAAGTCACTCCCGGATTTGTACAATTTTCTCCATAGTTTCGCGAATGATTTCTGGACCAGTGAGAGTACCGTCAGGAACTTGACTTCTAGCTAGCTGCGTGTCACCCACTTCAGTCCAGCATAGAGGTGATCTGCACTTGCGGCCATAGAGAGCTTAGGAGCAGCCTTTATGCTAGTGTGATAACTGTTATTGTAAGAGAATTCGACAAGGGGTAAATGAGTATCCCATGCCTTTCCAAAGTCTATCACGCAAGCTCGCAACATATCTTCTAGAGTTTGAATCGTTCTCTCACTCTGTCCGTCAGTTTGTGGATGGTAGGTTTGTACTCATGTCCAGCCTAGTTCCCAAATATTTTTGTAAAGACTGCCAGAAACGAGAAGTGAATCTACTATCTCGGTCAGAAATAATAGATATTGGCACACCATGCAGTCTAACGATTTCCTTGAGATAAGTTCTTGTTATTTTCTCCATCTTGTAGGTCTCTTTGATTGGTAAGAAGTGTGCGGATTTGGTTAATCTATCGACGATTACCCAAATAGTATCATAACCACCCGATGTCTTGGGTAACTTGGTTATGAAATCCATTGTAATCCGCTCCCACTTCCATTTAGGGATTTCAGGTTGTTGCAATAAACCTGAAGGTTTCTGGTATTCTACCTTGACTTTGGCACAAGTAAGGCACTTGCCCACAAAGGTAGCAATTTCGGCCTTCATGTTTGGCCACCAGTATAGTTTCTTGAGGTCCATGTACATCTTGTCTGAACCTGGATGAATGGAGTATCCGGTTTTGTGTGCTTCATTCATAACCACGTCTCTGTAACCACCGAACTTTGGTGTCCAGATCCGATTCATGAAACAATAGACTCCATCATCCCTGACTTTGAAGTTTTTATCCATTCCTCTCAAAGTTTCACCTGCCACGTTTTCAGGTTTTAAGGCCTCGAGTTGAGCCTCTCTGATCTGTGTGGACAGATGTAAAAATGGATTGTCATGGTCAACGACTTTACTCGGCGTCCCGAGTATTCTTTTCTACTAAGGGCGTCAGCTACTACGTTAGCTTACCAGGGTGATAAAGAATCTCACAATCGTAGTCGTTCAGTAGCTCTACCCACTGTCGTTGTCTCATGTTCAACTCTTTCTGATTGAAGATATGCTGGAGACTTTTATGGTCCGTGAATATTGTGCATTTCGTGCCATATAAGTAATGTCTCCAGATCTTCAAAGCAAATACCACTGCTCCTAGTTCAAGGTCATGTGTTGTATAGTTGACTTCATGTGTCTTTAGCTGTCTTGAGGCATAGGATATAACCTTTCCTCTTTGCATAAGAACAAATCCAATCCCTTGATTAGAAGCATCACAGTACACTACGAAATCCTCTGTCCCTTCAGGAAGAGACAGGATCGGTGCACTACACAAAGCTCGTTTCAGCGTTTGGAACACTGTTTCTTGCTTTTCTCCCCAGCTAAAAGTTACACCCTTTTGCGTCAGGGTGGTAAGAGGTTTAGCTATTCGAGAGAAATTCTGGATGAATCTGCGATAATAGCCAGCAAGACCTAAGCATTGACAGATTTCTGTAGGTGTTTTGGGTGCTGACCAGTTTTCAATTGCCTTTATTTTGGAAGGGTCGACGTGTATTCCTTCTGAACTGACCACGTGACCTAGGAAATCAACTTTCCTGATCCAAAATTCACACATTGAAAACTTCGCATAGAGTTTCTCTGATCTAAGAGTTTGCAATACTTGACGAAGATGTTGGCCATGTTCCTC